AGGGAGGAGAGTGGGAAACACTACACTCTCTAACCCTCCCCGCTACAATTAATTGTAATGTAGCAGTGGCACTGTACATCACGGTATATAGCACTGTATAGCTGTGTAGATAGCACTGTACAGCAGAAACTATCTCTCCCTGAAATCACTGTCAGCTCTGTCCCTATCTCATTCAGTTCCAACACACAGGGTGGGGTTGGCACATTCGCCAATCCACAGTATTGGCAATAGTTTATCACCTGACCACTGTTCAAAGGTCAGACGATGCATTGTGACATTTGGCGCTTGGGCGAGTGCGTCCAAAAGTTTTCCATTCATGAGAACTGTGAACAGCCACAGTTTAGGGCAAACCCTGCAATGCCACAAACTCGAACCCCTTCCTTATTGAGGGTACAAGTGTCTACCTAAAATCACAATTACATTTTTTTTAAAATACAGCTATCGAAGGTTTGGTACTCTGTACAACTTGTTTCTTAGTGAATAAACCTTGTTATTTTTGCAAGTGATATTTATACTCCCTGTATAAAAGATGTCACCTCCCCCCCAAACCCCTCTCAGACCTCCCCATCCGTGTGTATTAAGGGTGCCAGCTAGGAGCCCATCTACGCTCTGTATATCACAGTAATACGCAAGGAAAAGTTGCACACTGAAGCCGTTGTAGCAAATACTTTATTCAGCTCCAGTATTGTGCACTTGCCATCACTGTCTATAAATCTCCCACCCAGGGCCGGATTTCCCACAAGGCCAACCGAGGCATGGCCTTGGGGCAGCAGGGGTGTGGAATTCCTATCCCCGGACACACAGGACAAGCAGTTCCGGGCACCGGGTGGGTAGTTTTCTACATTTAGCCCTGCTTTGGGTAAGCAGGGCTAAATGTACAGCGGGGAAGCCGCCGCTTGCTTTGTACAAGTGATCTCGCCGAGATCACTTGTATGCAGCCTGCATACAGGGGGGCGCATTGAGGAACCTGGCATTGGGGCACTGGAGAGAGTAAATCCAGCCCTGCTCCCACCTCTAAAGCTGAGCAGTGGACATGCACATTACTAGAGCTGAATAATTTTTGCAGCATCGTATAATAGAATCCAGGACAAACCCCCCCAACCGGGATGACCAGCAGTGTAGGGGCACCCATCTCTCCAAACTCCATACATGAAGCAGGAGAAAGGTTGCCACTGGTAAACAGACACCCTGGCCAACTTGGACCCTCCCCAGCCTGACAAACTGGTATCGGTCACAATTAGAACCCAAGAGATCAGGATAAAAGAAATCCCCAACACCAGGCTAGAAACCCTACAACACCAGTCCAAAGAAAACCTGGTCCCCAGTATCCAGCAAGTCCATCAGGCTACAGAAACCAATAAGCCGCTCCCAATTAAAAATGTCAAGCGTAGGGTAGAAAGGGAACCAAGCAGCAGCAGATTCAAGAAAGATTCAAGTTCTCGGCTGTGCCCTTCAATAAACGGAGAAGAAAAAAAACTATTGGCCCAAACTCAGAGTAAATACTGCAGCTGCTTTGCCTCACTTGTTGGCTGGACAAATCAATTCCATCTCCTCACGTGCATCTTTTGTACTGGCAGCCACTGCAGGTTTTCATTGAACCTTAGCCAACTGTGGCCAGGAGAGTACACAGTAGTACTAACAGTGCTGTGCATACTGAAGGGGTGGGGGGGAGGAGAGGTAGACACAGTTGAGTCCACAGACACGAGCCAGGCTCCTTATAGGTGGTACAGCTCTGAAAAGAGGACCCCTGTTTATGGGTCTGAAAAGGATGAGTGCTCTCTCCACCAGTGCAATCCCTAATGGAGGTAACCTGGAAGTCTGTGCACCTGTCACCTGCAAAGGGGATATTAACAAGGGACCTCTTGAAAGTATAGTTTGCAAACTAAGCTAAAACTGGCTGGAAGACCACAGCTGTTGAGATGATATGGCCAACCACTCATCTTGACTAGGGAGGTATCGCAAATATATTTAACCTCCTGAACTAGATGATCAGATATTTCAATCAGATGTTACAGAGTATCTAACCCAAAAAACAATAAGATATATTGCAGTTTACCAATCACTAAACATGCTGACTGCATTTATTTTCTTTTGTTATTGCTTTTTTCCCGGTGATCCGACCTGTAACACGTCCTGTCTCACTATACGGAGGAGCAATGGAGTCACCCGTGGACAGCAGCAGTTTCAGCCTATGAAGAGAGTAGTGTTAGATGCACCAGCTAATTTACATGGACTTGACTAACAAATGAATGCAAAATTGTAGCTAACATGTTTTAAGCAGTTACAAAAATTTTTCCCTTTTAAAATAAAAGTTTTTTTCATTATGTAATTAGAGCTGCAGCTAACGATTATTTTCAAAATCGATTAGTAAGCCGATTATTAAGTTCGATTAATCGTATAAAAAAAAAAAAAGGCTCCAGTGATGGACTACTAGTTTGTATTGAGATTGTAGACCATCACGAGAGCAAGCTTGGAGCGCGGTGGAAGTAAAAAAAAAACAAAAAAAAAAGTGTGGTGTGCAATACAGAATACCAGCAGCTTTAGAGGGATACAGCAAATCGCAGCAATAGTACATTATACTATATTGTACTATTGCTGGGATGTATAGTCCTCTGTAGCTGCTGGTATTCTGCATTGCGCTGTATATAATGTATTATTGCTGGGATCTGATGTATTCCTCTATAGCTGGTGTTATTGGAGAGGATGGGTATGATGGTGGAATGGAGTGCAGAAATAGAGAGGACGGGTATGATGGTGGAATGGAGAGGATGGGTATGATGGTGGAATGGAGTGCAGGGATGGAGAGGATGGTTATGATGGTGGAATGGGGGGCAGAGGATGGGTATGATGGTGGAATGGAGTACAGAGATTGAGAGGACAGGTATGATGGTGAAATGGGGTGCAGGAATGGAGAGGACGGGTATGATGGTGGAATGGGGTCCAGGGATGGAGAGGACGGGTATGATGGTGGCATAGGGTGCAGAGGTTGGGTATGATGGTGGGATAGGGTGCAGAGGTTGGGTATGATGGTGGAATGGGGTGCAGGGATGGGAATGATGGTGGAATGGGGTGCAGAGGACAGGTATGAGGGTGGATTGGGGTGCACAGTGTAGGGTTCCGGGGGGCTCGTGGCATTTATCTGAACATTCGCTCCATGTCTGCTTTCTGCTGAACTCCTTGAACTTGGTGTAGGGATTGAAGACCCTCATGCTGGGCTGCTCCCTCTCCCCGTCCTCCGGGTGTCCCATCCACAGCCGCCGGTTCAGCCTGGATGCCAGCTCGTCCCCAAGCATCGTCTCCGTCCCCCGGCTGACGCCTGTTGCGCTCACATTCCCGGCACCAGTCATGTGACCGCACCGCCACGGCTAGATGTGAGGAGAGCCAGGAGGCTGGACCGCGGCGTGTGCGATGTGGGCGTGGCTCGTGTGTGGAGTGGCGAACAGGCAATTTAATAGAAAGCCGACTAATCGATGATGGAAAACGTTGACAGCGTTTTCCATCGTCGATTTTAATCGACTTAATCGAATAGTTGTTGCAGCTCTAACGAGAAGGAATACATATCATTATTTCTGAAAGCATAATAGCCTTTCTCAACACAAATGTTTTTTCCATGTCCTCTTTGTTGGGTTCTCGAGCATGTGGTCCGTCTTTAGAGGGGTGCAGATTGCAGGGCCAATTCCTGCACCTATTTAATGATCCCCTCCTCCTTCCACTCTCTCAGCTGAGCCTTTTATAAAGGTCAAGTGATTCAACTCAGATTTCCTACTGCTCATTTTGAGTCCACCGATGTCCGTAATATATCCATAGGAGCCATGCCAGAAAGGAAGTGGCTGAAAAGTATGGGGGGGGTCACAGCTCTGGTGCACACAAGCATATGTTATTTCCACTGTGAAATGCACTGGGGCATGCCTTGGAAAAAAAGAAAACGTATTCTTTGAAGGGATACATATATGGCATGTGTTGACTTGTTTTTTAATATGTAAGCTCTGGGGTTGTCCCCTTAGCTTTGCTTCTCGGCGAATTACAGAGTTCAGACTTAAAAAAGGAACCTCTCAGAACCGCAGTGAGGGAACTACCACTGCCAACTTTAAAGCTGCTTGCTCTGAGGCTTTCAACGTTAGACTTGTTTCAGTATGTGATTGTTGACTTACCTGGAACAAGCAGGTGCATATTAGCTGTCAGGACAAGCAATGCACATAATTGTTTTGGGTCAGTGACTCACTAAAGAGTGAAGTAACAATAAGAATGATTGAATTAAAGCATGCTTGCTGTATGTTTTGTTAAGTGACTCACTAGGTACTGGGAAGTTAGTTTCGGAGTTTCCAATAAGTCAGCCATCTCAGGCAAGGTAATAATTAAATGCGACATATATTTCATAAGAATTCTTTATTGAGTATCTCCTTACAGTTGTGTATTTTTGGGGTTCTTATTTACAAACTGTGTGAATTTTAGAGAGTCAGCCACCTGACTGCACTGCAAAAAACACACACAAAGAAAAAAAAAATGCCTTCACGGGTATATCCGAATGCAGTGTCCATCTTCAGTCCATTCTCCATCCTTCAGGCCAATGACATAAAGAAAGTAGGTTTATCATACAATATGCTTCCAAATGATTTCTCACTTACGTACAAAGATTTGGTAACCTGTTGCTCTCGCAGTCTCTGTTTCAAATGCTGCAAGCCTCCAAATCTCCTTTAATACTGAGCACTGAGATCAGGCTTTTTAAGAGTGAGGAGGCAAACAAAAAGAAGAAAAACAGAATGCAAAAACCACATATCCACAGCGAGGGTAGAGAACTGATGTGGTAGATTTTCTTTAAGTCGGTAGGTTTATTTTACAAGTTATTATTTCCAAGTCTACGCTTAACTTTGTTGCTGCTCCAACCCAAGGAGGACAAACAAATAGATGAATGAGTTGAGACACAATGGAGCATGCAAGGTCAGAAGCAGCAGGCTGGTGGTCCAAATTAAATAAGGCCTCTTCTTTTTTTGTAGTCTTCCAGATTCAAAGATCTTCGCGGTGCACCATCCTTAGCAGGGGGAGCCTTCGCAGAAATAGCAAGGGACTTGGATTCTGTAAATCAGATATCACATTTTTAATCACTTGAGGTCAAGTCCATATTAATTGGAAATTGTTTAATGAGCATGTGAGAAGTTTGAGGACATCAATCTAGTTCTTAAATTGTATGTAAAGGCAAACCAAGTGCTGTGCCCACAGGAAACTTCTAACTTTAATCACTAGAAATACCCTGTTAAGGTTTATGGTGTATATGCTGTGTATGGGCACAACAAATGTGGACGCTAGACTTGACATTTTTAGCCCACTACTGTGGATTTGATTTCACCATGCACATTTCTAGCGCTTGCAGGGCCAGACCTCTTATAACACCTGTGAAAAAGAGCCAAAACTATGCTCGGCTTGGAGAACCTGAAGCAGCAGTCTGATAAGGCTACACAGTCACAACAGTGGAAAGGCACTATGGCTTGGCAACTGGAGAAGTTTCTTTCCTGCTTTATATTGCTCCAGCAAATCTCTGCCACAGGCATATGGGATAGGTTGGTAGCTCTTCCTTTTACCAAATACATGAGCACATAGTTTCTACAGGCTGTGTCAACGCAATGGTCAAATTTGGTTTCTCTCTATGATGATTTATGGGAAAGAAGAAAAGTTAAGTGCTGGATACTGAGGAACAAGTTATTACTGGAAAGCTTGCAGGCTACATGTACTTGGCCATAGACCTGTTTATCAAGGATCAATTCAGTTTAAGAATTTATGTGTGTTTATGTATTTTTATTACTTTTATTTCTAAATTTTATTTTGCAAAACAAAAAGTTACCTGAACTGGGGACTTGGAGGTCAATTTTTACATCAAAGTCATGCACTTTAAACAGGTCCTCTGAGAGATCACTGGTGGGTTTGATGTTGCCATCTTTATCCTTGTTTTCATTCTATAAAGAAAGAAAAAAGGTCAAGCATAAAAAGTCAATTCTACATGTTATCAAGTCATTAGGGATGTTCAGATACCAGTTCATAGACTGTATACCAGTGCCAATACTTGAGAACTTCTAGGGTAACAGAGGTTGCAGCTGCCACTGGACCCCGGCGTTTCACCACTGTCCTGAAATCATTCGTCTGTATTGTTTTAGAAAAACTGGTATCTTGTGGTCATTTTCCTGCAGCCTCGCAGCCAAAAAGCCATACCTCCATTGTGGAAACAAGTCTAAACGACTAAACAATACATGAAAACATAGGAACTGGGGGGCAGAAAAATGGCAACAGATGTTCTGGACCAGGGGTAGCCAAACTCCGGCCCTCCAGCTGTGGTGAAACTACAAATCCCATGATGCCTTGGCCTCTGGGAGCCATATCTGTGGCTGTCAGAATCTTGCAATGTCTCATGGGAATTGTAGTTGCACCACAGCTGGAGGGCCGGAGTTTGGCTACCCATGTTCTGGACTGATGAGACAAATTTGAAATATGTGGCTGTAGCAGCAGTCAGTTTGTTTACAATAATGAGTGTCTGCAGCAACAGTGAAGCATGGTGGAGGTTCCTTGCAAGTTGGAGTTGGAGATTTGGTCAGGATCAATGGTGTCCTCAATGCTGAGAAATATAATCAGATACTTATCCATCATGCCATACCATCCGGGAGGTACGGGATTGGCCTCAACGTTATTCCGCAGCAGGACAATGGAGTCCAATGTCAGGTTTTAGTCGGAGTCATCCACCAGTTTCCACCATATGGAAACTGATGGATGACTCCGACTAAAACCTGACATCTTGTTCCAAAAACCCAGACCCATATGGAAACTGATGGATGACTCAGACTAAAACCTAGCAGGAGTCATCAACCAGTTTGAACCATATGGAAACTGATGGATGACTCAGACTAAAACCTGACACCTTGTTCCAAAAACCCAGACCCATATGGAAACTGATGGATGACTCAGACTAAAACCTGACACCTTGTTCCAAAAACCCAGACCCATATGGAAACTGATGGATGACTCACTAAAACCTGACATCTTGTTCCAAAAACCCAGACCCATATGGAAACTGATGGATGACTCCGACTAAAACCTGACATCTTGTTCCAAAAACCCAGACCCATCACACTCCTCTGACCTCCCAACGGTCCGCCCATGTGGATATACTAAACAATTTCCTAATCAACAACAAAGTGCCTGTCACTTTTGGACTTCCTAGGAGGCATCGTGAATCTTTTTCCTCACACTTACCCTCGGCCGAGGCATCATAGCAAAGAGGATAAACAAACCACTTATCTCTACGAAAAACCAATGAGGAGATAAACCCCCCACCAAAGGATAGGTGAGTTGAAATAACGGATATACTATCTGTTTCCATTTTTGTTTCTTTCATTTTTGATATATCCTGTTTAAATAAAAGAACTCCTTAACCGAATCTCGGAAATAGCAATCAATTAAATCCAATGCATAAGATATATCCACACAACGAAACATAATCGAACAATTGAAAACTGATAGATATATACCCCAAAGGCAGATGCTGGAGGTCCCGTCTCTTGAAATATCTTCTACTCTACCAAGGATACAAGGAAAGACTATCCGATAGTTTGGATACACACAAACACCGTGTCTTGCCATCAATTAGAATACCCCCGTATTGGGGCTACAATATATCAACAATTCCAAGAATATCCTATTTAAACACAGGCCAGTAGGAATAAAAGAATGACTCGATACAAAGTATACTAGCCATAAATAGATCTAACCAACCTGTGCTTAACTACCATCTACCTAGAGTAGAGGCCACCGATATCTAAGACGGATGAACGGTAGGGTCTCGATTTAAAGATGCATAATTAACTTGGGTCAATAACCACCACCCTAAATGAAATGGACTCCTAGTCAGTGATTATTCATGCTTTTTATTTTATGTTTGTTATTTGGTGGTGTTTGGTGATACACTAAAGTTTAATTGATATTTTCAAAATTGGTCTGTCCCGATCATTGGTTAACCCTTTGACTGTGTCCCCTTTGAAGATAGTCCCCTCTGTTTTTTGTATGCTGTTACTTGGTTACCGATTCGGGAGACAGACAACTCTAAATGGGTAATCTATAGAGCACTGATCTCCAGGAGTAAAACAATTCTAGTTTTTTGTGTCCTGAAAGTGATGGTTTGGCCCCCTGATCTCAACATGGAGTCTGTCTGGGATTACATGAAGACACAGAAGGATTTGAGGCAGCCTACATCCACAGAAGAGCTGTGGAGAGAGAAGTCCTGGAGGCGAGTATGGGAGGAGTTGACAAGATGTTAATATTTTATATTTTATCCTTTGGGCGAGTGGAAGCCAGTGGAGGGATTGGCAGAGGGGGGTTGCAGACACTGAGCGGTTGGTCAAGTGAATGAGTCTAGCAGCTGCATTCATGATAGACTGAAGGGGGATATCCTGTGTAGTGGAAGGCCAATGAGGAGGGAGTTGCAATAGTCCAGACGATAGATAACAAGGGAGTGTATAAGTAGTTTTGCGGTTTCCTTGGTGAGGAAGGGGCGTATTTTGGAGATGTTACGAAGGTGAAGGCGGCAGGATTTGGATAGCGATTGGATGTGGGGAAGAAAGGTGAGGTCCGAGTCAAGGATGACACCTAGGACCTTGGCATGAGGGGAGGCCTGGATAGTTGTTTTATCAATCTCAACTGAAACGTTGGGGGAAGGTGCACGGGGTGGAGGAAATATCATGAGCTCAGTTTTTGAAATGCTGAGTTTTAAGAAATGTTGTGACATCCAGACGGATATGTCAGTTAGTAGATTAGTGACATGCGAGGACACTGAGGGGGAGAGTTGTTGTTAATTTATAAAAATAAACTATTTTTATAAACTATAAAACACTTATTTCTGAAGCATCCTTACTTTACAGCATTCTTCTCACACCTGCCTAAGACGTTTGCAGATAGATAGACACACGCACATACATACACTTATTTTTTCCATTAATTTATTAAAATAGGTTTTACAAATCGTAATTTATCATTTTGGAAGGCATTATAATAAATACCCTTCTAGTATTCAGTTTCGGGGTATTGATGGAATACAGAAACATTGGGGAGCTAGTAATTTGACGAGAAGTATTGAAGAAAGAAGCGTTTTGGATTTATAAACTAGATACATTAGGACCAAAAAGGAATGAATGCTGAACTAGATTTAAATGGTTTTATTGAATAATAGTATTTTTAGTATTAAAATGTAATTTTGTATTATATTTTAGTAAATCTTGTTATAATGCTCGCATTTGTTAAAATAGGAGTTTTATTATTAGGGATGACTCGAAATAAAATATTTACACCGAAATGAAAATGACTTTTTTCCAACCTTCCAACCTCCAAATTGTTTTAAATAATTTTCTATGTTTTGAGGTTTGTTTTTTTCTTTTTCTTTACTGTCGGGGGCTTTGTGGAAATATCAGGGGTCTAAATAGACCCCTGATATTTCCATTTTAAAATAGAAAAAGAGATTGAGGACACAATCTTGTTTTCTGCAGCCCCAGCACTCAATGACCAGGAAGCGGTCAGTACAGAGGCTTCCTGTTCATTCACAATGTGGACATAGTAAATATTTACTATCAACCCAGTCATGAAAGTGCGCAGATAGTAAATATTGACACAATCATGAAGAACGCACTGCACTTCTTGTTCATTTATAATTGGGGACATAGTAATCACTATGTCCTCAGTTATTTACAAACACAGAGAGCAGTACTGCTGATCCCCCGCTCGGCATTCTGACAGCTCCCCTTCCCCCCGCATTACCCTGCTTGGCCTCCGGACAGCATCTCTTCTCCCCTCTGCGTCCCCTCCAATCCCTGCCGCCTCTGCCAAAACAGGCGGAGGAGAGCAGCGTGGATTGGAGGGGACACAGACCAAAGCTTGCAGCCGGCGCCCAGTGGAGAGGACAGATTCTAGGGATGCACTGCATTTTCAGCCAGTTTTCCGGTACCATCAGCCAACTAATTCCTAGTACTGGTGGGTTATATGATTCCACAGGTCACGCGATGTGAGGGGACCAATAATCTGCTATTTTCAGGTTTTGGCTAATCATAAAATATTACATGATTTTTTATATAT